AACGAAAAAAAAAAGTAAGTATGCCTTTTCTAATAAAAGACGCACATGCAGAATATATATTCGTGTTGTTTTGGTGACCCAGACATGCGCAATAATTGCTTTTTAATTGACAATTGCACAAGTATGAACGCTGAATCTTGAGCAACATTGGTGGGCGCTGCGAATGAGGTCGGCCGTTTCGAGTACCCGGTGCCGTTAAGAGTGGACAAGCAGACAAATGTACAAACAGACAGACAGACAGACAGACAGACAGACAGACAGACACACAGACGGATGGATGGACAGACAGACAGACAGACAGACGGACGGACGGACGGACGCACGGACAGACAGACAGACAGACAGACAGACAGACAGACAGACAGACAGACAGACAGACCGACAGAAAGAAAGACCACAATTTTTGCGTCGAAGGTCGCCCAATAAAGACTATCGTCTTTAAAAAACTCGATGGCGGGGCCCGAGAATGGTCGTGCGTGTCATGTCGCCGGTGGGCACGGCGGGACACTCACAGATAGTACTGCCACGCGTCACTGTGAAACTCGTGCAACCGGAATACCACACATTCTGCGTTGCGCGACAGAGAACTTCAAGTGTGCCATATGTGTTTTTTAGCTGCTCATTGTTTATTTGGAGAGGGGGAGGAAGACCATTCTTTTTTCGCTGCAGATCCCATAGAAATGGAGTAGCCGAGGTAATGTGAATCACAACGTCTCCACAGCAAGACAGTTACTACAGTACGGAACAGAGATGGGCCACTGTCAGGTGACGGTAAAAACGCAGTAGATTGTATTCGGTCGTTATGCTTCATTATTGATTTTTAGGGTTTTACGTCCACAAGCCGTCATACGTGATTATGGGAGACGTGGAGGACTCCTAAAATTCCGACCACCTGGAATTGTTTAACGTGCGCCTACATCTAAGCCCGCGGGACTCTTGCATTTTTGTCTCCATAGAAACGCAGCCTCTGTGGCCGGGATTCGAGCTCATGACCTTCGTGTTGGTTATGGTGCATCGTAACAACTAGCACGATGATCAAGAGGAAACGTTGATGTGAGCTTTGAAGACTGTGAAGTCACAATAAGCTGGTGCTTGTCTACGGTGACTGCTTTCTAATCTTCGTGGCGCTCTGATTTTGCGATGCGTAACTGAAACTTGCATTACAATGTTGAGTCTTGAGTAACATGCAATATGCAAGTGAATTACTTTTTTTACTCTGTTACTCTGAAGCTAGGTCAAATGATTCTAAATTCAAGTCTCATTTTTATTGAAGGTGTAGTGTTTTCATTGCTCAACTTGCACTCTGAATACACGAAGATAGACAACACACTGGCGACATTATCAATATCTGTGGAAAGGTCGAATCCTATATGCATTCAGCAAAACTATAGGGCTAAAATACTGGCGACTCAGCCCACAAGTCATCAGCCCAAAAGTCAAATTTTGGGGCATGTTTGTTATACGTCGGTCTTTTATAGGACTATCGTGTGATATCTGATCGAAAGCTGCGTTGACCGAATTTGCAAGTTTCTTCAGGTAAAAGGCTCATTGATAGACTTTTGTTCTCTGACTTTATTATAAAAATAACTGCGCATACAACACAAAGCTAAACAGCATTCCCACGAAAGAAAACTTCTAATGCACAGATCGCAGTTCGGCATTGATGAGCGCTTCACAAACAAGATTATTGAATCTCTAACAATCAAAACACCGTAGTCATGTGTCGAATGACATTTTGTGTGTACGCGGATCAAGGATATCTCCCACCAAATGCCATCTCACTACGGTGTCAAGCGCAATCAAAAAGGAGCAGTTGCCCTTTAGAACATCTGGTTCGCGGGCCTCTATAGCACTTGCCTCCGCCGAAGGTATTCGATTCCGCGACCTCTGGTTTAGCAGTTCAGCGCCATAACCGCCAGACCAGACCCTCTGGTTTAAAGCTCGCTAAATAGCTTCCGAAATGCAGTAATTGCGTATTTACTCGTCAACAGTCGCAATATGGCGGCGCAGCGATAAGTGACCTTGCCTTTGCATATGGAAGTAAAAGGAGAAAGAAAAAAAACACGCTTCCCTTCGCACTGGACGAGGTAAAAAAAGGAGAAGAGGAGAAGCAGCTGCTACGACGGGGACCACGCCTAGGGTTGATGGGCGCGCCGGTACGCAGTCGCCGCCAGCGCCGAAACGGGTTCAAACCGGGGCTCGGGCTCACTTCAGGAGCGGGGCCTCGCTGCACGCACCTGAGCTTCTTGAAGGAATCTGCGCAGTTGTCCACGAATAGCACGTCGTATACTTGCGACCAGCTCCAGTGTAACGCAAGCTTGCGTTGCGCGGCGCTGCCCGGCGGCATGGGAAACAAGGTGGTCACTTTCACGGATGAGCAACTCGAGGATTATCAGGCAAGTGTGGCAGCTGGCGCGCGCGCGCGAATGTTTCGAATGCGGAGAAAAACAAAAAGATTTGCTTCTCGAACCACTCGGTCTAATGGAGAGGCTTTCACTTGATCAGCTGAGGTGACGGGGTAAACGAATACGTTATCAAGAGTGCTTGAACGAACAGTGACTATACGATCAGGGAACGAACAGACCATGTTATTACGAAATGTTGTGCCTTTATGCCTTCGTTAATCCTCTCGCAGGATGAAAGCCCTCTCATACCAAGTACTCTGAATTGTTAATTACTTTTTTTTCTAAACACACAATCCATACACAAATGAAAAGAACATACAATTTTCTAGGTCAGGTTCCTAATCAAAAATGCCGCTGCACGTATAAGGTGCGCAAGCTCTAGAAAAGGGTGTACCAAAACGTGTTCAAATATGTTAGGTCATTGTGTCACTAATGGTTATTATTGTTTATTTTTGGTTATTCACGTCCTTTCGTGAATCTGGCGCGTGACGTGTCCCAACTCGGGGGGCACATGACCTAAAATTATTTGGTTATAATTGACTGCTCACGTCGGAACAGACTTGAGCGGGTAATTTAAGAGAGGTATATGACCAAAACACAGTGTTACAACGTACAATCGCTGGTTTACTATTGCATAAAATGCATTAATACGTACACAAACGATGTAGTGGGTGTGTACACTACTACTGCTATCTGTTAGAAGCAGAAAGGGGATACAGATCCAAAGTACATTACAGACTGTGTTCGTGTGAAATTACTGGCAACTTTTTATCAAATAAAGTGTGCTGCTCATACTCGACAACACTTATTCTCATGCTGCCTCCGTAAAGGACTGCACCTACTTTACGAGGAAAGAAATTCTCAGGTAAGAGACGGATTTTTTATTTTTATTTACAGAGTTTTTGTTGACTTGATAATGAAGCCATAAGGAGGAGCGAGTAAAAAAAAATAAATATACCCCACTGAACATATTTTCACTGTAGGTTACGCACATCATAAAAATGCCGCGAAAACACGTTATGGAACACGCTAAAAATATTAATAATACAATGAATTACATGTCAATGCAGATAGCGTAGTACGTGTATGAATTCTAACGCCACATGAGAGCAAACAAAAGAAAAAGCCTAGCCAGCGTCACAAAACAAAAAAGAATAAATATGGTGGGAAGACATGAAAAAAGTTCTTTAGCTCCGCTAACAACGAAGTTACTGTTACTGTATATATATAGAATCAGATCGGCTAACCACACCAGACATTTGGAGAGATGAGTGGCCTTTATTGCAGGCTAAAAACACGGCAACTCCTCACAATGATTGGATTCAATAAGTACTCATACTTTAGAGTATCTGCGAAACCGCAATCGTGATATCTCGAATTAACACAAGTGATCAACTGTTCTCTACATAAGACCATAAAACTATGACATAGCACTATGTCAAAAAAATGGAGCAGGCGAACAAATTGAAAAACAAGCAAAACCAGAAGTCCAATTGGACTTCTGTTTCGCCCTGTAACTATTTCGTAGACTGCTCGGTTCACTTCAACAGCTATGCAAGAACTATACATCCTCGACTTAGTACGTTGTTAAGCTACAGATTATAACGCAGTCGAAAGGTAAATATGAGATGGCCCTTCACTGCTAAACGATTACCTTACAAAAAAAAAAAACGCCAGGCCTGCGCGGAAGGCGCAGCACAGTCACAGCGAAAGCTAGAAGAGCGGCCTTTCAGAGTCTTTTCCAAACACTCATTGGGTAACTGCTGCAAGCGCACTTGCCTGATGCCCACTACGGCAATAATAATAAAAATTTTAGGCGAGTAGGCCATAATCCGCTATGCTATTTTTCGTCAGTCTCTGAGAATCGTGGTATCCGCTAAATTAATGCCAGAAATTTTGTGCCAATAGTTCATGCAGTGGATGACGACGATGAAGAATTATGCTTGAAGTGGGTGTGCGCCACAGTTAATGGCTGAACAAAAACAAGCTTTTGTAATGGGTTGGAGCATTGTACGACCCACTCGTTACGCTATTCGCATTATGCGACGACTGCTTGTCTTTCGCTGTTTCAAAACGCTTCATAAGTCGTATTAACGCGAATGCCTTCCCGACATCAAGCCTGCCTAAGGCAAGTTTGACAACAACTCACAAGCAGCTCAGTGATAAAGTACTGGGCTGGCACCTAGCGGACCCGGGCTCGAGCTCACTGCATCTTTCTAACTTCGCGCGATGTGGGTACGGACACCGGCGGCGGCGGTAGCAGACAACTACGGCGCTGTGGGAGACCCAAACTTGTGATCTCATAACAGCTCTCGCTGTAATATTATAGGACTGTGTTCGACTCATCTGGTCGGTGGTCACTCTAAATACTGTGATCAGATAGTGCAAAATGTAGATCAACAACACGGGCAAGCTTGTTCACTTCGCCTGAATGTCTATATAGTATGTACTTTTTCGTTACCAGCTCAGGGCCTTTAATCAGGCTGGCAGAATGAACTGAACAAACAAGCAACTTACCACTAGCCGACTGCAGTAACTATGTGTTACGCAAGCCGATCGAACACTTCGTGCGGGCGCTTCAAACGATTCCTGCAGGATACAGAAGCGGTTCCGAGAGCTGGACAGCCAGCGGGTTCCCATTGTCATGACCGGGAACGAGGCGCACACCATCGTCGTTCCTATGGAGAAGATTGAGAAGATGCCCGAACTGAAGGTAGGCCAAATTCTGCACTAAAACCAGATTTACAGGGCCGTGGCAGATTATCTGAAATGCACGTTGTTATTCTTCGCATGAGTTAGGAAATCGCAGTTTATCGGTGAGTCTCCAAGTACATTCATTCTCTCTACCTCCTAATTTCGGCACGGTTAGAACGACCATTGACACCCAATTTCGGAGATTAAACTATGACGACCAGATATTACGAGTAAGCCCTGGGCGCATAATTCCACAAGTGCATAAAAGTGTTGACGCAAGCGAGTTAGTAACTCTTTCCTGCGACGTGTGTTGCAGGAAAACCCGTTCAAAGAGCGCATCTGCAAGGTCTTCTCGCACGACGGCAGCGGTAATATGACGTTTGATGACTTCCTGGACATGCTGTCCGTCTTCAGCGAACCGTCACCACGCGACGTCAAAGTATTTTATGCCTTCCGCATCTACGGTGAGCATCACGTGGTCTAACCAACGTGCGTAGTTTTTTGTATGTTATAATGTGTATGACGTATTTGCTCTGGAATGTCTATCGGTCCATTCCCGCTTCGACAATACTGCTGCCGGAGCACCATCTCCATTGCTCGTCATCCCACAAGGTGGTTGAAGCATTTTTGTGCTTCTTGTGAAATACGGGCCTGCTGTGTACGCATCTGTGTATAGTGCATGCAACAAATACACATAGGTCGGCTCACTTTTTGTTCATTTCCTTCTTTCCTTCCCTCTTGTCTCACTAACTTATCTTTCTATTCCCCTTTTCTCATTCCATCAGCATAGCGATGCAGATTACTCAAAGCACGTCGCGCAAAATTGTTCATTACAATTGGTCAGTAGTGACATGCCCAGGTCACAAGCCAAACTTTCTTCAACAAGGTACCAGGAAAATTAACGGATATAGTAGTAATTACCAAATAACAGTAGTCGCACCACATCGCAATTGCGTACTACAATCATCAATGCACGTCTATGCCACTTTGTTTATGAACCACATGACTCTGACTTTACGCACTGCCATTGAGAAGACGCTTTGGGCACTGGCGTAGCCAGAGAAGTTAGAGGAAGGCGGATTGAGGATAAAGTTTGAAGGGAGAGTTCAAACCCCATCCGAAATTCTTTTAATGTAGCTAGTGTGTATACATATATACATTTGTATATAAAAGCACGCGCACGACGTATATAAGCATGGTCAAATTCTCCCCCCTCACAAAAACAATTTATGACTGCACCCTAGCTTTAGGTAGCACTTCATACTTTGTGCTTCAACAGCCTCACTTCATCCGCTCGGAGGCTTTAGAAATAATTGGTTTTACCAAACTCGGGCCTGCTTTCGCTTCATTACAGATTACGTTGGTCAGATTAGGAGATCCCTCACTAAACTTTTTTGGCGTCAGATGCACCAGAGCTTTTTCTCAATCGCAATGAAAACCACGCCTGTGGGCGTATGATTTGCCCACGCCGCAGATTACGACGAAGACCAGATGCTGGGTCCCGGGGACATCGAGAAGGCGACGATAGCGCTGACGCGCTCCGAGCTGACGCCCGAAGAGGTTCAGATCGTGGTCGAGAAAGTGCTGGAGGAGGCCGACATGGACGACGACGGGAAGATCTCCTTCACCGAATTCGAACACGTCATCACACGTGCGCCAGATTTCATCAGGTGAAGCACTGTGTCACTTGACGACACCCGCTGGTTTGCAAACACCGGGAAAATGCCTGGTTGGGATGCGAAATGACGTAGAGTAACGCCGTCAACAAGTAAGGCCAGAAAGGAGTCAAGGCAAGTCGATGCCATGCTTCCAAAACAAGAGAACATCGAGTTACGTTCTTGAATTAATCAATTCAATATTTAATAATGAAATTTAACCACCAGTTTAACTGTCATTATCTAATAACTGCCTTTCTGTACGTAAAACGAATGTCAGTGTGATCCCACTACGCACTTTATATTTCCCGTGGTAGACCGAGGGGTTCTGGACAAATGCAGCAGCCACTTTGTTTCCTCTGTTTTTTTTTCAAATATGCAAGCGAAAGTAATGTGCAGATAAGTAACAGCACTAAGTTCAGCCATTTTACTTAAACCGCTGAAGCTTTCTTCCCTCCTTTAAAACTGTAATCCCACCTTGCAACTGCTGCAAAGGTGGCTTCACCTCAGTAAGAGCATACGTGCAGTGCGGCACGCTTTACAGAAAACAACCAACGAGACGGAAGACGGCGGTATCATCCAACTAGACCCCACTGAAATTTTGAACGTTTACATTCATAAAGTACGCAAAAAGCTTAACAATGTACTTGGAGGTCATGAATCATAGCAACTTGCAGCGCAGTTTCTAGAAATGTATAATTATTCAGCAGCTTCTTTAATCGTTCGCAGTCGTAACAGCAAGAAGCAGTGTCATTGAACTGCACATAAGCTTTCTTTCTCTCTACAATGAATCCATTCTTCGAAGAATGCGAGGCAATTTGGGAACGGCAACGGCCACTCTGAAAACACGCTAACTTAACCGCGGCAAAAGACCTGGGAACTCCAGTGCGCTGCGTTTATACCAATGTCCTGCCTACACCCTGGCTCTAGCAAAAGATGGTCACGATATAAACCACACGCGTTAATTACGAGGTTCAGTTGCTGCACCAACCTCCGCAATGCTATAATTAGAGTGAAAAACACTTGGGAACCTGCACCACTCCCCACTTCTTTTTTTTCTACCCTCGAAAGATTTTTATGTATTTCAGAGTTGCTACTTTATTATTTGTTGTCATGGGCCACATGTGCGTTTTTTTTTTGTATCGTCTCTTTTAGCTGCCTGTAATATTTTGCGTTTCGCTACTTGCCAATTTTCTATTTTATTTTGTTGGTGAAGGGGCCAGTCAAGCTGCGACATGCAGCTTATTTTTTTTTTTCCTTTCGCACCAAACCACGTATACAATGTGTTTTTCGTGTACTTGTCACGCTGTTAAATAATCTCAAACATCAACCTTTGGAGGTGGTAACATAGTATTGCAGCTTCGTTGCCCACATACCAGTGGATTAATAGAAATGTGTTCACTTATGTACAACTATGATGAAATAGCGATTCTCTGCACAAATCAATGCAGCGACGTTGCACTACGTGTTGACCTAGCCGAAGGCAATTGATTGATTCGTTTTCCCATTATTTTGCAGCGCTTTTCACATCAGAATATGAGCTCCGTCGGGTGGCACAGCACGGAAGAAGCAAGCCTTCCCGACTGCCCTCTGTTAGCAAATAAGACGACAGTGAGAGAATATGAACCCCAACTAATGCAAACTCGTGTCAAAACCACTAGAGGCCGGCTTTTAGCATTGTCCTTTTCCTTTGGATATTCTTTGGAACCAAAGTCCATCAAGCTGTCGTTCTTATTCCGTCATTCTAGTTGAGACATTGTAGCAGCCAAGAGCAACAGCCACTTGTCCATAATAAAGTATTGAAGTATTAAAATACTCAATGCTTCCTGGTTATTTCCCATAGTGCAGAAGTTTAAAATGAAGCATTACTAATGAAAAAAGTTTCATTTCGACTAAGCTCAGTGAGCGCCATCCTCATGACAGGCAGCCACAGTTCATTGTTTTATTAGAGGCTCCTTAAGTTAATTACGCATTGTTCATTGCAGGAGTATGCTACTTGTCAAAAACAAGATGGAGACAGCATTTGAGTACACCCAGGTTTGGGGCCCCGGCGACTCGCCATGTTTAGGTGCGCGAACCCTACTGTCCACAGCCCAATTGTAATTGAACATTGTTATCGATTTGATGATGCTACTCTTTTTGTCTTAACGAAGTACTTCACATGCAATACATTGAAATGCACTGCAATAGTCGAAAACCGGCACTTCCTTTTCTTATGTGGCAAAAAAAATCGTCATGACCCATAGACCAAAGGCACCAGTTCTATCAAGAAAATCCCGGCATTTCTTGTGATTCCTATGTCCACCTTTACGGAAGAAGATAAGTCTGATAGATAAATTATTAGCCTATTGCTAATGTTGTGTCTAGCAAAAAAGAAAAGCCAAAGCCCTTGGAATTTTTACTTCTCTCCTTAGTCTATTGCAATTTTTTTACATAATTTAGAATGACATATTGGTGCAACAATACTTATGCAACACAAACACACATGGGTGACTTAACGCTTGAGACGGTTTTAAAAAGTCGCCATAAGCAGCGTTGACCTGAGGAATGCAAAATAATAAATGCCAGTGTCCCAGCAGGAATCGAATCCCTATAATATCCTGCGTGGCAATGAAATATACTACCACAGAGCCACGCCAGGCGGCGGTGTACTTACAAAAAGACAGTCATGTTCGTGTAACGTCAACTGTGGTTGCAGTACTGGCTATACGATTTTATAGACATTACATATGTACTCCTATGATACAGCCGTCATGTCGGGTTAATGTAAAATGTAATTAGGCACCATACGCTCAAGTTGATTTGTGCAGCAGTGTTGAGGGCCACCATCTTCGCGTGTTAGCGCAAACACAAGCGCTTCATATCAGCATATACCACTCCTGGTGTTGCTAATATCCATGTTGCTGTTGGCATAGTTAGGCAATTGTAAACAACCGCTAATATAAAACATACGCGGCTGTTTAACGTAACTGTGTGCGAGGATTTGTACATATATCTAGCGCCACTTCATAATGTCTGCCTTAATGAAAAAAAAAAGCCTTCACCTTCCACCCGCATGCTTCGCATGACATTGATTCTTAAGGTACCTAAGATGTTTTTTTTTTCCAAGTTTTGTTGGATACATCAAATCATGAAGTGCCGCAGTTACTCGTTTACGCCGACTGCCGGTTCAGGCCAACTTCTACTAATGACGGCCACGGCGAAGTTGTATAAACAGGATGCGAACGACGAACAAAAATGTTCGCAGAGCGACTCGTCCATAACGTCCAACCTGAGCGAGAAGATGACGGCGGCGAGCGGAGGCGGCGTCGCCATTCTGCACCAGAGGCCCGCGCCGATCCAGGAGGCCATTGAAGCGCCCAGCCTGCCGTCTACCGGCGACGCCATCGCCTCTGCGCTTCCGGACTCTGGCTACAACAGTGCCACAGCGGCGCAGGCCGTGGTAGGTTCACACGGTATTAAGGGCTTAAAGGGACATTAAAGGTAACTGAAAACTTATGGCAGAGTGAAACGTATCACAGCCAGGGGCGGCGCCAGGGTGGGGCAAGGGTGGGCTGGAGCCCCCCCAAAATTCTCGCCTGCCCCCCCTATGCCCACCCAAGTGCCCGGAAGCATATATTGAAAACCTAGTAGGAGCAGAGCTAGCTTGCCCCCCCCCCCCTCCCGGAGGAACTCACTTTTCGTGGTTGCCCCCCCTCCCGGAGGAACTCACTTTTCGTGGTTGCCCCCCCCCCCCCTCGTAAAAACATCCTGGCGCCGCCCCTGATCACAGCGTCTAGAACGGCAATACTATCAACAGCAGTGCCCTACTTACCGAGAAATTGAGCTAAGTGTACTACATGACGGTCCCCGTGGGCGGGATATTTTGGAAATTGTTTGATTGATTTGTTGGGTTTAACGTCCCAAAACCACCACATGGTTATGAGAGACGCCGTAGCGGAGGACTCCGGAAGTTTCAACCACCTGGCGTTCTTTAGTGTGCACCCAAATCTGAGCAAACGGGCCTACAAGAGATATTTTGGAAATGATCCCGATGACGTTAGCGTCTGACTACAAATAATCGCTAGTAATCAAATTAGCTGCAATCGAAAAACTAAATTCCGTGCATCAAAAGACGTAATAAAATGCTGCTTTAAAAATATTTTATAGAGTGGGGTAAATCTTTAACCCAATTGGGAACTACATAACCAACATCAGGTATTCTGCCACACAGCCGTGCCAGGTATTGGAACTGCATTGCTCAACCCAAGCGGAATACGCTAACGCGAGACAGGTGAGAACGCTGACGTCAGAACGTAACGCGAGAACGTAAACGCACTCCATTTCGATAATACTGACGTCTGCGTTCTAACATGAGTGCTGGCGTTATGTCACACAATACGTTACCCTGTGTAGTCGCCACGTAGACGCCGTGCCTGGTAAGCCCACACAACCAGGGCACTTAACGTCGATCCAACTCGCGACACATGCCTCAAAGCACCCCCCTCCCTAAAAAAAAAACGAAAAAAAAAACATCATACGCTACAGCGTTACGCTTCGCGTGAAGAACATCACGGACTGATAAAAGAACCACATTTCTTCGTATACCACTGCTGGTGCTGGTGGTGCGCATGTTTTTTGGTGGGGTAGTTCCGCAACTGTGAGTAACCAGTTCTCGCATTCCCATGTTTTGTAGATATACGTGAAACGCTTAAAAATTTCTACGAATGTTTACTGAGTACTACATCCTTCCGCCTCGTAACGTTAGGCTCATTTTAGAAGTGCCACATAACAAAGTTGTTGATACATGCTTCGCATATCATTTATTCCCACGGTACATAGGATCTTCCAATTTTTTTTTAATAGACATATTACTAGAACATTCTTCAGAATGAGCTTTTCATATGTGCCTCTTGTTACTACTACCTGAATACGCGAGAGAGTTATACATCATGTGATGTTCAGGCACCTCATTCTAAATTAGTCGAACCGTATATAAAGAAAACAAAAAAAGTACAGGTGCTTGAAAAGAAATTCCAGCAGTAGAGCTCGTAGATGCCGCAATGTTCTTTTTTTTTCTTTTTATCGCGATGGTGCCCCTCGCGGATAACTCACGCGTCGTGCCTGCCGTTCTGTCTGGCGACACGCAGCAGGCGGCCAAGGAGCTTCCACCTGACACGATCGAGGAGACCAACGAACCGCTGAGTGTCGCCTGGCCGGACACTTGGCGCGAACGCTTCAACTACGTCGTCCTAGCGCCCATCATCTTCCCTCTCTGGCTCACCATGCCCGACGTACGCAGGCCGGTGAGTGAACCCCACAGTTTGCAGCAATGGTTGCAGCGAAACGGGAAGGGGTTTGATTCATGTCATGAAGATGCACGCAGAACAGAGAAGCCGAAGCGGCCATGTCAAGCTGCTCGTTGAAAAAAATCGCAGCATATCCACCGAGTGAATGATAATGAGTGGGGCGAAGCGTCCGTCAGCCCGCTCATGCTTTCGTCCGTCTGTTCGTTCTTGCTTCCGTCCGTCCGCGCGACCATCGATGCGTCCATCCATGCGTCCGTCCGTCTGTCCATGAGTCCGTCCGTAAGTCCGTCCATCCATCTTTTTGTCTGTCTGTTCATGCGTCCATCCGTCCGTACGTCCATGCGTCTATCCATCCGTCCGTCCGTCTGCTAGTCTGTCTGTCTGTCCACCCGTGCGTCTCCATCTAGTGAACACTAAGAGTACCGCCATCTTCCATCTCGCATCCCCTGTGGCACAAACCCGCTCTAGAGCGGGTATGCGCCACCGTTGGTTACGTACTACTACATACATACAAGGGATGGGCAGACCCACGCCTTAAGGAGCTTCGCCCCTAAAACAGAAGCAGCGCCAGTATAACGTAAAAGCTCGCGTTACAGCGTAGTTACCTATGTACGGGATGGTCGCCTAATATTTTCACAAATAGTGTAGTTTGAACACGTTTCTATTATTGAGATACGACGAAAGAAATAAGACGATAAGCACGTTGTCGACTGCAGGAGTTCACCTGACTCTACATGCCGACTTCCTTTATCTCTCTCTCTTTTTTTCTTTATTTCGCCCCCTTTCACTTCAACACTCTGAGAACTAAGGACGGTCGACTACAAAAGCTGCCACTTGGGGCGTCACCAGCGTAGCCTGACTGAAGTGAATGAGCGGAAGAACGGCCTGCGTCACGTGGTGAACGCTACTGGCGCGCCCTCGTTTGCACCTGATTGGCCTCGTAACTAGTCACGTCATTATGAAGGCCAATAATAGGGCTTTTAGCAAGTTGATTTAATTGCAGCTGCTAATTTTCTAAATTGCACTATAGCCAAGTCAGCTGCTATACGAAATCAAAAGCGAGTACCCTTCTATCTAGACGCACATTGCAACTGCCTGCATTTAGAGCCCATCATTGAGTTTTCACTGATGAGTCGTAAATTTCGATATCTTGAAAGCTATCCAGCTCCTGTGAACTGACATTCAAACAAGAGCAAATAAAATTACAATTCGGAAATGTCACTGCTCTTTGTCGCGTAATTGCTTCCCGTCCCTGAGCTTCACAACATTATTTCTTTTGTAACGCACTTGTTGCAATAATTCATAATCTAAGTCGGTATAAAACTTGTAGATGCATTCAACAAGCACCCTTAATTTGCGTGAGGCTGTTAGACACACTCGCTCGGCGCTCTTCAGAATTCATAATGCGAGTCACAAAACACAACTTCACCAGGGAACCAATGCTCCCACGCCCACGCATGCACATGTCATATACACGGCGCGCTCGACGCAGTTCCCATCGGGTTTGTAGCTTTTAGTACTATATGCTAGTACACTTCACTCAAACTACACGGGAAATGCATTTTTTTTATTTTTTTTCATCGCGTACCGCTTTGGAGGGTCGAAACACGTCGCTCTGTCCGTGCTCGATACACGCGTCACCCGACGACAACACAGCTGCTTTGTCCTTTTTTACGACATTGTAAAGGGATGTAATCGGTGTATTCAGCCCGGCCGTCGTCCCCCAAGAAAGGAGTTAAAAGAGAGCTGACGGTGCAATGTTCGGTGGCGACAATCTGCGTAATGCACGCGCCTGCCACTGGTCATGCTTGGCCTGCAACAAGGCTCGGCAAGCATTCAGGTCCCTTAAAAATGAATACATAAAAACGAGAAGTCAGCAAGAGCGGAAGAGCCGTACAACAATGGAGGATGCTTTGCCCCGAAGAGAGGTGCGCGCGAGGAGGCGCATCGCAAACCGAATGCATAATTTAACGCCGCCGGCCTCGTCCCTGCACAGCGCGCAGAGAATGCCACCAGCACTTTATCACAAAGGGGACAAAAATTTCCCCCCCCTTTTTTTTTTCGCCTCCATCTCTCTTTCGCTGTCGATGACAGCGTGCGACTAACCCCTCCCTCGGCGCGAAAAGTGTACAAAAACTTTCGTCACCATCATTTTTTTTATCTGCCATCCGGTCACCTATACGCTTTATTACATTGCCGAAATATATTCTTTTCGAAGGTACCTCGTGGAAGTCGGCTGAAAAATAACCGCTTGAAACGAAGCAAACTAAATAACGGAAGAAGAAGGAAAGACAGAGAGGGGGGGGGGGGATGGCGACAGGAGATGCAGATCCGTAAGTGTGTGTGCGAGCAGCGGCGGCAGCCTATCGAAATAAGTGACAGAGAGCCACGAATAAAGGCTGTTTCTCGTGACTTTCTCACAACCTTGCTCTTTTTTCCCGTTCATCTCTCACTTCTTCCGGATCTATAGATCGCAAGTATCTATAGCTAGGTTTCGAAAATAAACACGAAAAAAATGCAAAGACGTGAAGAAGAAAAAAAAACAGAAAATCCGTCAGTTTTTTTCTTTTTAACGGTGAAGTGTGCACTGGTCGTAGCGCGCGCACTGACGTAGATGCACTCATAGAAAGCGGCGTAAACTCCCTTGCGGAGCTGAGCTACGCAGGAGGGAAGTTCCGACCATCTCGAACCGCAAAAGTCCCCCCAGGTTATTCGGCACTCCGGTGCCGTTTCTCAGTGGCCGACGCCGCTGCGACCATATTTTTCTGGTCCATTGTTTGTTTCTTTGTTGCTTGTTTGCTCGGATACTGTTGTTCTTTTTTTAAAACCGCGCATTCTTCTCACGCCGCAGGAGAAAGTGAAGTTTGTGGCCGGTTCCTTCCTGGGCAGCATCGCGTGGATCGCCATCTTTTCCTACCTCATGGTGTGGTGGGCCACCGTGGTCGGCGAAACGCTAGGCATCCCCACCGAGGTATGCGCGTCACCCGTTGGTAATCTATGCGCCGAGGTTTCCCTTCGTTCACACCCACAAAACTTTCAACTAAAACTGTACTCTAAGCAAAAAATATTCGGCAACCGAATAATTATTAGCAACTATCGTCCTGTGTCACTGACGTCTGTTTGCTGCAAAGTCATAGAGAATATAATAGCAAAGCATATCATGGTTCACTTGGAGGTTAATCAATTACTTAATGACTGTCAGCATAAATTTAGAAGTGGCAACTCCACAGTGACGCAATTGATTCAAACAATTCATGATTTCAGCTCGGCTATAGACGATCGCAAACAAGTTGATGTAATTTGTATTGATTTTTCTAAAGCCTTTGATGTTGTAAACCACACTAAACTGCTTTTTAAATTGAGTAAAATTGGATTCAGTGATGAAATTTTAAATTGGATTGGCGCCTACCTGAGTAAACGCAAGCAAGCAGTGAGGATTGATGGTTCTTTTTCAGCTACGCTAGATGTGTTTTCATGTGTGCCTCAAGGGTCCGTGCTTGGCCTGCTGTTGTTTTTGTTGTACATAAATGATATAAGTACTATTGTAAAGCCACCTGTTCAGATGAAACTTTATGCTGATGATTGTTTGATTTATATGCCTGTAAGCTGTACTGATGATCAACTCGAGTTGAATAAGTGCCTTGAAGATTTGGAATTGTGGTGTTGTGAATGGGATATGCAAATTAACTTTAAAAGAAAAACATATGTACACATAACCAACAAGAAAAATGTTCTCAATTTCCAGTACAACATCGGGAGCAATAAACTCAGTAAAACGCCCCATTTTAAATACTTAGGGGTGACCATTACGAACAACCTAACTTGGCACCGTCACATTGAATAGGTTTGTTCTGAGTCATTTAAAAAACTGTTTTCTACGAGCAAAGATGCATAAAACACCGAAACACGTAAAGCTGCTTGCATACCACACATATATTAGACCTAGACTGCAATACCTCTCTGTGGTTTGGAGCCCTCACCAGAAACACTTGGTCACCAAGTTAGAACGTATTCAGAGGCGTGCAGCTCGGTTTGTGTGCTCTAGATATAGAAGGCGGGATTCAGTAACTGATATGCTAAATTCATGCAATTTAGAATCACTGGAAATTCGAAGACGGAAACAAAAACCTAAAACATTATTTCGTATAATCCAAGGGATATTCAAAATACCTAAAGACGAGTACATGCGCCTTCCCGGAAAACGTAGCACTAGATTGAATCATGATGCCCCTATTGAACCTTTCAGCGCTCGCACTGACATCTTTCGACGGTCATTTTTCCCGGATGCTATCGAACAATGGAATTCTTTACCCCAACATGTTATTAATAGTACCGATGTGCAAACTTTTGACAGAAAAATTGATGCTTATTTTGGTAATGGTTGAAGTACTGCCCATTCTGTTTTCCTGTGTTTATTCCTTAGTGTTTTTTTAGGTGTTCTGTTTGTACTCATATTGTACTCCCTCCCTGTTATGACCCTCAAGCGAGGGTTGACAGTATCATTAAATAAAAAAATAAAGAATAAATAAAGAAATCGCAGCAATTTTCCAATGTTTTACGCCACGTATCTTGCTCCACCTGCGCAACTGCGCCCTCTGTCTGCGCAACTGCACACTAACTGCACACTTGGTAAAACAGTATGTCCACGATCTCGGCAAACGTTTCAGATTGAACTTGTTTAATCCCTTCCTTAGCTTATAACCAGAAGTGATGCGCTCACCGTAAGAGAAATAAAATACCGAAGTGAATGTGAGACCGGATCAGCTAGAAATCTCAATAGCACCAGCAGCAAGACTTGAGGAGGTTCACAAAAAAAGGCTTCGTTTTAAAACTTGAGTGGTGATAGCGAAACTATACCGTCAAGCGATCAGCACCGCGGAGGAGGCGTTGATTACCGTCCCCCGTGGACTTAAGTTTCCGAATATTTTTCTGGTTGTTTATCGTTCCTGCTCCAGTTACGCGCTTTATTATTAGACTGTAAACCGTCAATTTAGCTGACAAAAAAGCACAAGGTAATCAGAAAGCTTGTCGCATGGTATGATGCGTTGGTGAGTGCCGAGATAGCACAACTGCCGTTCGTCCGCGAGGTTGAGGATATAGGTGGCACAGCTCATACTGAAGCCTATTCATCTTTAAACTGAGTTCACCAATTTCAGTAAGCATCTCACTCATCTTTTCAACTTTCTGGCATTGTCGTACGATATGAGCCCGTAGAACATGCACTATGAAGCATTCAAGAAAGGAACGTTAGTTTACTTCTCAGGATAATTATAAGCACTTTCGAGGCGTTCGCTATTCAATGCAACTCCACAAAAAGCATTGGTATCACACACATACAGCCCACGTCAAAAGCTTTGATACCATGAGACACAATAAGAAGCTGAATGGTGACGCTTCATTCACAGCCGACCTTCGGTTCAGTAAATTTCCGGCTCGTTCTAAAACTCGTTAACATGTTCTCTGCAGTTTGTTGAATAAAGTCACAAACTGCTCAAAATGTAGTTTTCTCAGACCTAGTGGTCTCTAAACTACTCACGGCAATTGTGCATCACCCGCCCCCCTCCCATTGTTCATATGGGACAATACTCGTAGCACACGGACATCGTTGCATAATTTGACACAATTACAGGGCAAAGTTTTCATTTCCTGGGTTACTAACACACGCACGTTGACAGGTGATGGGCCTGACCTTCCTGGCGGCGGGCACCAGCATTCCGGACCTCATCACGAGCGTCCTGGTTGCCCGCAAGGGCTTCGGTGACATGGCCGTGTCCAGTTCCGTCGGAAGCAACATCTTCGACGTGGCCGTTGGGTGAGTCCTCTTACACCGATGTAACCCCATCGTGATACGCACGGAAAGCAATCTCATATGTGCTGTGCGAATCGGCATTTGCCCCACCTTCTGCGTGTTTCCCATGCGATGTCTCAAATCCCTATATGTACGATGTTCGGAGCAGCTTTAGTGAGGGTTTAAACATTTTGGGATTCTGGGTACGCCAGAATTTATCAACTCGGTAGCCCCCTAAGATCCAAAAAAGAAAGAAAAGAAATCGGGACAGCTTAGTTTAGTGTAACTTGCCGTCTTTGGTAAGTGTTTAGTGATGAGCGTAGCAGCCTCCCAAAGAAGGTGGGTTAATTTTCGTTACATAATGATAAACTAATAGATACCACTGCACGTTAACTGTCTGGTACATTGCATTCTCCCCAAGACCAACAAAATGGGCTCTCCAACTCGGCAACTCTGTTCGCAGTTCAGTGACCGTGCCAACGCAGCAACAGCCAGTGTTTACCACAGCATGTTTTGTATGTATTTACCGGGTTGTACCGAACGCAAAAAAAAAAAAACAACTTCTAAATGCGTGCGGTAATGCCCTGGCAAGAGCACAAAAAAGAAAATACCTAAAAACTAACTATAAACACGGAATAGATGGTAGACAGCTGCAGTAGTATACGGCTTCAAAACAATATAGACGCATGATAGCACGACAACCTCTCGAGATAACACATCGCAAAGAGTCCTCGTTGTTATTCAAATTGTAAACGACCAAGCGGGAAATTTTCTGTTAGGGTATTCCTGTCATGCCTATATATACTACTATTACTGCACGAATTGCCCATAAAAAAAGAATAAAAGGTAGATTATGCATTAGGTCGTTCACAAAGAGCTGTTTTTTTTATTTTATTTTGCGCATAGGCTGTGTCCAAGTACGTTCTGTGCTATATACTGTGACTAGCGCGACGTGCAGCGCAGAAACGCACGGGTGGCTCAACTGCAAGCATGCTTCGGATCCGCCATCTATTTAATTACCAGTTTGCATTGCGATTCATTAGCGCAACTCGTGCGGCACATCGTCGCGAACACGGAGTCAAGCATTGCGCAACTTCATCAGCACGAATTTTCTCGTATTTGAGGCCGTCGTCTGAGACAGTTGCGAGCATCGGTTGCGGCAGAAAATGCGGAGCTCACTTAGAGACTCGCCAAAGGAGCATATTTCGTGTTCAGGGCTCGCACACTCTCGGAGGAGGAGGAGAAGGAGGAGGAGAAGGAATAAATGAGGAAGGACAGGAAGGTTAGCCAGTTCCCACACTCTCGGAGCCCCCGAAAATTTCCTCGGCTGGACTCACTCAGACTCACAGTCATGGCTCGATTGAGTGTATAACCGAGTCTTTGGGTGTCGACTCATGATTCTGTTAGCGTATAGCTAGAGTTCTTTTTTTTTTAGATCCGCAGTGTTAGAGCTCGACAACACCAATATTTTACGCAATTTGTGCTCTACGAGCAACTTTCTGACCTCGTACCTTGAAATACGAAGCGTCGTCGTTGTTATTCAGTGAGGACATTTTCATTAAAAGATTGATTGATGTGTTGGGTTTAACGTCCCAAAACCACCATATGATTATGAGAGACGCCATAGTGGAGGGCTGCGAAAAATTCGACCAGCTGGGGTTCTTTAACGTGCACCCAAATCTGAGCCCACGGGCCTACAGCATTTCCGCCTCCATCGGAAATGCAGCCGCCGCAGCCGGTATTCGATCCCAGGACCTGCAAATCAGCAGCCGAGTACCTTAGCCACTAGACCACCGCGGCGGGGCTTTATTAAAAGACAGTGCTCATACGAGTATTTTTATCGAGAACTTCTTGTGCAAGAAGTTTTAGTTAGCGGAGAATGGAAAAAAAAGGAGGGGGGGGGGGGGGGTTGAGGCACTTTCTCCCGCCCCTCAACTCACGCCTCTGGTGAATAAATATTGAGCTGGCGCATTAACGCTAATGCGTTGAAATATGTGCGAGAAGATGTGAGTATTACAAATGGTGGTAGCTGACGTAAGGCTGCCAGTAATGCTGAAAATAAGTATATAGAAGTACACGTTGGTGAAAATGTGGAGCTAACTCCGACTCACTCAATAAATATACTTTGCGCTTAGAACTCACGCAGGACCTTAATCACCAAAATACTCCCTAAATGGCCTCACTCGGACTCAAACTCACCAGAATATAACTCAGCCGGACTCACTCAAACTCCTGAAAGAGTTCGAGTCAGTCGACTAATGTGCGAGTTCGCCGACCTATGCTCATGAGTCACGTCAAATATTTTTACAGCATAATAAGGATGGAATGATAATAGGAATAATTTTATTTTGAATAATAAAAATAAACTTGACTGAGGGAGTTGATATAACATAAGACTATCCGCTCGACTAAGTTGTCACCTCCTATCTACATCAGGCGGTGGTTAGGAGAGGCAACAGAACAAACGTGCGCAATAAGGGATCGTAGGAATGATACATGATGATGCATGATCCCTTCGTAGGGTTAGACATACAACGTAACTTAGCCTGTACTAGCACGGTAGATATAAGAAGTTAAGACGACACCGACGTAATGAAAGGTAGGCAGCTAGGTCTACATTTCTTTACGTCTGTCTCGTCTTTCCTTTCTATATGTAAAGCGCTATAATGCAAGCTAAGTCCATGAATGACCAACCCGCCCGAGCGACAACACTTCTGAACACAACGTAAATATTGTAATTCCCCCTTTTTCCGAATTTCTTTCGTGCACTCATTCGCGTCTATTAGAGGCGGAAATTCCTAAGGCCAGTCTGCTTCGATTTATAGATGCACGTTAAAGAACCCCAGGTGGTCGAAATTCCCGGAGCCCTCCTCTACAGCGTCTCTCATAATCATGTAGTGGTTTTGGGACGTTAAACTCCATCAATTCTTATCATTAGTGTCTGCCATCATGTTCCCGCTTGGCACTCACGCTTCGAGAGCAAAGTTTGTGCTCCTACACGTGCAATGCTTGCGTGTACGCGGTGTTTATGTGAACTTCCCATGTCGCAGGCTTCCGCTGCCCTGGCTGCTGTCGTGCATGATCTACGGTCCGGTGAAAGTGAGCAGCAGTGGCATGGCCTGCTCCATCTTCATCCTCTTCATGATGCTGCTCTTCGTGATCATCACCATCGCGCTCTTCCGCTGGCGCATGAACGTCGGCCTGGCGATGGTCATGTTCTTCCTCTACTTCGTCTTCATCGCCTGCAGCCTCATACTCGAGTACGAGGTGGTGCGCTGCACGGACATTATCAACTACCTGCGGCTCCGATGAAGACTTCCGCACACTGTGTGCGCCCTCTCTCGCCACCTTCCTCAAACATGCGCAATGCATCGAGAGAGAGGGAAAGAACCATGCGACCTCCTCTGTCAGACTGTGTCAGACGCTGCGTCTCACAACACAAAATGTTTTGGACGTGCCACACCAGGAAAAACCACCCATCGCTTTCCCAACAATGCGTGGAGGTGAAAGACATTCGGACCAGAAACAACGCATGCTACGCTAGGAGGAGCTTGTGCACGACTACGTGTGCCGTTTTGAAGAGACGCGACTCGATTGGAGAAGGAAAAACGCGTCATTGACGACCGTCCAGTCACCTACTACGGTCGTCATGATGCAAAATGTGCTCCTCAGACAGAACTTTGCCGGGCGCGGTACTTCGCCTCGAAAGTTGCAAGGCGTTCGACACTATCAATGCGTTGGCTGCAGTAAGATCGGTCTGTTTAAAAGAACTGTGGCACGATGTTCTTTCGCAAGGTGTTTGAGTGATAGTACAATGACACCGCTTCGGCGCTAAGTTGTCAACAAGCTCGCGGATCGTCATATGCGCCTGGTGGGAGACGAAGAAAGAAAATACGCTATCCTTAATCGCGACGCAGGAAACTACAATGTGGCTGATAGTGCGGATAATCCAAAAGCCTCTTAGTGCTACAGCTGCCTTGGTACAGGGCCGGCTTCCTTTATGCATGAAACGCCAAGGTGTAGCTTGAAAGTGTTCCACGAGCAACCAAGCTTTCTTTTCCTGCCGCCAACGACGACGCTTTAGGTGAACAGCGTGGCGCTTTCTATCTATAGTGTTCGCGCATCTTCCGCGGGTGATGTACGAGTACGCCGCTTTTCTCTCTGTCTTTATCGCTTCGTAGCAACGCAGATGTTTATCGGCTAACCACTGAGCTGGAGTCAACCGAACCCCCTTTGTCTCACGTATGTGAGCAGCGCGACGCTTGTACCTCGAACGTCTCCTCGATCACGTGCTTCGCGTAGACAACGACGAGGAGGCGACCAAGGCCGTCGAAAAAAGATTGCGTAACGTGTAGAACAACGTAATGAAAAAAAATGGTGTTTCCCGCTCAGCCCCCAGTCCTCCGTGTGCGTCAAGTAGAAGCAACGCTCGTGTCGGGCCGGGTCTTCCAGCAGTTCGCTTCCATCTACGTCCTTCTCTTCTGTGTCGTGCATTTCGGTTGATCAGCGCCCATCGAGAAACGGGCGCTCCGCGTCCCGCTTCGCGAAAGTGCTCCTCGGGAAAGAATCGCAGTCGGAAGTGAGCTTCCTTCTTCGTCAGTCACCTTCCCTCGCGGAAGTGTTCCTGGAAGTGTCGCGGTGCAGTGTACCTACACACGAACTTCCGTTGGTACTCGTAAACAACACTAGAGCCATCTCGCGTAACAACAGTTGGAGTACACAGATAGGAGAAGAAAAAAAAACATTGTATAAGCTTGGTTTGCTTACATGTTGTATTGTGGGGCTATTGAGCTGAAGTGGGTGCAAATGAGGGTAAACGATGGCACCATTCGTGATACGACTTCGCGCTGTCTAGAAGGCGTCGTGCCTCCTTGACCCTTTGAAGTCGACACGGAACAATCAAGAATGCTCGGAACAGTTGCAGGACTCCGGTACGGGCACTTTGCTTCCGAGTTTAAACGGCTGATGTGTATCTAGTTAATCCAGATTTCGATTGGCGCTTCGCTTCACTACTTCTTCTTCGAAATTCGAACGATAAGTGGAGAGTAGTAAATACTATTCTCTGGTGACACTGCAGTATGTAAAATGGAACCAACACCCCGACCAAGTGTATGGATGCGTGAGAATGGCCTGTTATACTCGAGGAGGCGACGACGGTTCTTATGGGGCGCACGAAGCTAACAGTATGACTTCCTCGTTACGTCACACGCTTCCTTATACCGGTACTCATATCTGTGATGTCTCGGTACGAAAATACGTATGCTGCACAACATGCTTACAACTACGGAGATTAGTTTCGCCTGCGCTTTGTGCGAAAGGACATTGAGAAGCTGGAAACTTTTCTTTAGTGTCGACGCATTTCACATGATCCAGGAAGAAAAAGAAAAAAAAGATGTTTTAAACGTTTTATTTATGTTTTGAATAAAAAAATCTTGCTTCCGTTATGGCTACAAATAAATCAAAATGTACGAAAGACTAATTGGTTAACATGAGCAATAGAAACGCAGCAGCATCGATTTCGCACGCAGCAACTATTGTAACGACAGCCCAACCGTTGGACCATGAGCAGTTGCAGCTTCCATGACTGTCTGCCTTTTATTTTTGGCGGAGCCTCGCGCGCGAAGTACGCCGATAACGAAAATATATCTTGTCTTTTTTTTCTTTTCTCTACCCACCCGCCGCACAGGTTGCGGGTTCGTCTCAAACAGAGGTTAAAAACTCCGACGTTCAGACTACGTACGGTGCGAAGGACTGATCACGGTCAACAACACGCCCCATCTCCCTCTTAACTTTCAACTCTCACCTCGGTCACCCTTCTCCTATCTCTGTAATTCACCCGCGAACATCCCTCGATTCAGAGGAGTGGTCATGGCCATTTTTCCAGCGCTACATTCGGAAAATGTGTTTAGACCACCTGTGTAAATCTAGTAGATGTATTTTTTTTCGCGAAATATACAAAACGTTGATTATGGCTTTAAGCGTGCTTTCAAACTTAATTATCGCTGTCTGTTTGCAAGCAATGAAGAAAACAGAGAAATGACGAGCTAAATTGGCTAAAAGCGTTCTTGTTTGTTAAGATCTTACATGAGAAAATAGCGGAGGGAAGGCCTTACTATCTTAATCATCAGTAATTATCTTAACAAACTCATGCGATTAGAAATTCCAGAGAATAAGAAAACAAGAAATACGTATTGGAAATGCGGTAACCAAACATACTGAGGGAAATGAAAATGCAAACTCACTTAACTTAAGGAAAAGCCTGCTATACACGATATGAATATACTCCCAATTGCGCTCCCATATTTTAACGACTTTTATGAGGAATTTGCCCAGTCGAGGGCAATGAGACCGTAAGAAGCAAGAACCACTTTGTCAGGGGTCTCTAGGCACACAAGAGATTGTTTATAAAAGCGATGAACTTGCATAGTTGCTCACCACCCACTGTTCTTGCGCTTAAGATGGCAGCAAGGGTACTGGCAGCACACAAGAACATACGCTTCACCGAGTAAACTTGTGTTTTCCTCCATCACTAGAACCCGGCCTGTTTTCCTTCAGAAAGCACGTAGCGTAAAAGCAATGAAAAAACAGCTCACACATCCGTTTTTAAAAAAAGGGTAGGCGTTCCTCTAATAATAGTACACAGCGTCCCTCTTTTTTTGCATCCCGCGACGTTCCACCGTTGCTTCCAAACACGTCAACCACACGTCCTTCCTCACCGTCATAATCACCCAGAGCAGCCCCCCGAAAGCTTCTTTCTCGCCGTGACGCCTGTACATCGCTCGCTTCGACTGTGAGGTCTGTGAACCGTGTTGCTACCAGCCCGTTTCCCCGGGGAGAGAGTGTGAAACCTACGATTTGCATGTGCGCGTGCGTGTGTCTCATCAATGCTTACTTAGCTCGTGTCTGGTGCCTCCGGTGCGCGCTGATCCATGACGTCACGTCCTCGCTTCGTAAGAGAACGTACCGAGGAACAACTGTGGAGTGAATTCGTTCCACTCACCCACGGAGGCGCGCGTTCCTTATGGGAACACGGTCCAACGACAGGGCAGGCCTGGTCTCTGGATCAGAATTCCTAGTCGGGGGGATCCTCCTCGCGTTATTACTCGCAACGAAGGACTGCTGTATATATACTACTTCTCCGCCTGAAAACAAGTGTTAACCGTTTGGTTTACCTGTACAGGTCGTAGTCTTATAGGTGGTGTCGTGAAGAGATCCACACATGCGAGGCTCGGAATCCCTTGGAAGAGCACTCTTTACCAGACTGTGCTCAAAGGACGGATGTTATACGACTTGCTGGTTCGGCGCGAGGGAGTTCACAAAGAGAATTGTTGCCAGTCTCGGTGTCTGTAAGCTGCCGCGCGAGCCGCTCGCTTTAAAGGGAATCGTCAAGGCGTCGTTCCGCAAAAGCCTCGGTGCATTCTCTGCAACCGGAGCTTTCCACTATGCACTGTTATACAAGCGCGTTCGAGAGTGTCGAAATCGCATTGTCGGCGATCTATTCCTACAGGCTTCGTATAGATTTGCTTATTTATTTTGTCGCTTCAAGTCTCTTCTCGGTGTGCCATCGGTGTCACGAGTATCGGTGATGCCCTGCGTGATGATATGCAGGCAGATAAGAGTGTCTGATTACATCTGTCTCAACCCTGACGTAGTCAGCTCGAGCTGCGTTTCGGGGGTATTTCGGTGTGCTATAGTTCAAAAGTGAGTCGTTGGCTTCTGCATTCGTAACCGTTTCCTGAGCCAGTAGGCTCAGCGTACGATTAAAAAGAAACATAACTGAAGATAAACAGTCCTTGCCATCTCACTGACATCGTATTGCTTTCTGTTGTTGTATACTTATTGTCATGTACATTTTCCTTCGTGGCTTTACCGTACGGCTCTCGCAGTAAGTACCAGTCGCTAATAGAACCTCTATTTTAAGCACTTCAAACCATTTGGTAGGGGCCAACTGTTTTTGCGTGATTATAGACAAGCGTAACCGTTTGTTGTTTCTGATAAGCATTCAAGTTTGGAGAGAGCAGTTGGCTATCCGGAAACGTTCACAACGCAGGCGTAATTTGCACCACTATTACAGCTGTTTTCGGCGAAAAGCTGCGAGGAAGAAGTCACGGGAAAAAATCATCTCAGAAAAATATGTAATGGTTTTAATGATTGTTGGCGTAATATTAATGTAACTTACTTGTAAATAATGTATCTGCCACCAGCATAGGAAATTGAGCACTGTCGTTGGTTGAGCGCGTTAGACGCTGTTGTGTATACCTTGTCGAGCAGCCTTGCCATAGCAATATAATTTGTTGGAAGTTCATCGAGATGTCTTCTTTGCGGCCATTCAGCAAGGATAGCTTTAACGCAGTCGGTCTGGCCG